AGTGAAACTCTTTTAATGTTCACCTTTGGTGTAACACTTTGTGTTACCCGGGGTGCAACAACAGTTTATCCTCAACTTATCCCGGACGAGATTTGAGATGACTCCTTAGTCTAACAACTGTACAGATCATGAGATGGTCAGTGAAACAATCTGCTCCACGCATTGCACGGGTAGGGCATATATCACTTAAGTTGGCTCTGCGAACCAGAACATAATCAAGGAGATGCCATTTTTTGGACCAAGGGTGTTGCCATGAGTTGAACCGCTTGTCCGCCACTTCAAAAAAGGTGTTTATAACCGTTACAGCAAGATCATGCTCCTTACAAAGTTCCAGTAAGAGGTAACCGTTTGAGTTAGCTTTTCCATGCCCATGAGGGCCCAATGCCCAGTCCCAGGTAAATGTTGTCAGCTCCGACACGAGCATTAAGGTTCCCTAGCACCATCAGCTTGTCTGTCTTGGGTACCTGTAATGCCTGGCCAAATGTGGTGTGGAAATAGGACCAGCTCTAAGACGCAGCCCTGTTGCTGATTGCAAACTCCTTGGTCGCTTCGCCACTAGTGAGGACCTGACCAGTCATGCCGTCGTGAAAGAGCCATATCACTTTGATGAACATCTTTGGGCATCCAATTCGTTCAAGCACGGTCCAGAGAGCTTCTCTGTTGACCGTGTTGAACGCCTTGGCCAAGTCAATGAACACCGTGTAGAAGGGCATGTTGTGTTCTGTACACTTTCTTGTAATTGTTTCACAGCAAATATCATGTCCACCGTGCTTCTGGCGTGTCTAAAGCCGCACTGTGCTTGGGGGAGAGTTCGCTCAGAGATGGTGCCCAGTCTGTTGAGGATGACTGGTGCCATGATGTTCCAGGCAATGGAGAGGAGCGAGATGCCAGTGTAGTTGCCACAGTCCACCCTGCTTCCTTTGCTCTTGTACAAGGAGACTATGAGGGTGTCAAGGAAGCCGTCCCGCATCTTCTCCTCATCCCAGACACTCTGCAGAGCATTGAACAAGGCTTTGAGGGCGTTGGGGCCTACTGCTTCGTAGATCTCTGCAGGTATGCTGTCCTTCCCTGATGCTCTGCCGGAGCTGGTCTGGTGGATCGCCTTCTTGATCTCGTGGAGGAATCCACTACAGGCTGCAGTGGAATCTGGTGAAGCGTGGTTGGGTCCACAGTTGACGGTCTGTTGAGCAGGGAGCTGAAGTGTTCCTTCCAGCGTTCTTGAAGCCCCACCTGGTCCTTAATCAGGGTTGCACCGTCCGTGGACAGCAGTGGTGAGCATCTTGAGGTTGAGGGGCCATAGACTGTCTCAAGGGAGCGAAGAACTTCTCGGCGTTATGGGTGTCAGCCTACAACTGGACTTCTTCATCTTTTGCCTGCCACCACTTGTCCTGCATCTCTAGCAGCTCAGCCTGCACCTTCACAGGGAGTGACTTGAGGTGAGATCGTTCTGCCATTCGGTGTAGGCTTTGTTCTTGGAAAAGAAGGCCATTTGGATCGATGTTCTCATTGTTTTCATCAAACTAGTCTTGGTGAGTCCTTGCTTTCAGGCCAAGCACCTCCTCCTCCTGCTGGGCTGTGGCATACCATGAATGGAGGGCTTTGTCCAGCAGCAGGCCCTATTGAACCAGCAGCTGCATGGTGAATAGACTGTATGTGTGGTATGCACTAATCCTCACACAATGTTGCGGTGTAGCAGTCCTCCGTAGCAAAGGGGTTAAGGTGGACTATTTCCCCATGCTATCACTGTTGGAGGGTAGGCCCTCTTGGAATTTCTTGTCAAGAGTGTGTTGGAACTTGTCGAGGTAGGACTCATTCTTCAGCTTGGCTGTGTTCAAAGAGGCTCTGATGGTCTTGGGTTTGTTTCTGTGTGGCAGTGTGATGTGCAGGTTCAGGACCGATCCGTCTGGACTGGTCTGGACTTTTCGTTTTGCTTTCACTGTTATTATTATGACCGCAGGTAGGATGGGTGTCAACCACAGTAAGCTGATCAGACTTGAAGGGGCAAGGCATTTGTTTAGGGTTCCTTTTCTAACCCCCTCCCTCATGCAAAGGTGGGCAGTGCTGTCCTAAAGAGGCTGCCCAGTCACCCTAGGTTGCCCTCACATTTAGGAGGAAAGCGACCACTCTCCCAAAAACCCCCTACATGCAGGTTGTGACTGACAACTGCCAGTACTCACCAAACACCTGTTGCCACCTCCACTCGCCCATCACCGCGGGACTTTGAGCGGGACGGTAGATCAATGATGAGTTGCATAACGGGCCTGTGTGTGAGTGTTTTATAGTGGGAGAATCATTGCACAGGGGTCGTCCCACTCTCTCGACCTGGTGAGTCTTTGTCCAATGGCACAAAGAACTGTTACAATTGGAGATCGACTGCCAGGCTGAAGTGGATGACCAGGACTTGCTACATGTCATATCCGTGCTCTAACCCACTCCACAGCGCTTGCTGACACCGCCTCCATGACTGTTGGATCCACTGTTGATCTTATCCGCTTGCTCTGCCGGGAATCATTCTTCACATGCAAAGACTGACATATCCCTTAAAACTAACTTTGCCAGGGGTGTGACCGCTGTTACATGCAAACAGCTATGGAAATAGACTGCCAACTAAGGCTAACGAGCTCTATCTGTACAGGTTTATGATCAGAGTTGTCCCTCTCCTAGGCAGCCT